AGAAATAAATATTAAAATATGACAATTTAGACCCATACTTCAGTCCCTATGTTCTAAATAAAAAGAAAATAATAATCCTAGTGTCAGTTTTCTGTATTCTCTTCATTTGTGCATCAAGCAGATAAGAAATAAAAGAAAACAGAATCCCAATAGGTCACACCAGTCTTCATAATGACAAGCAGATAGAGGGATGAAAGGGAAGATGGTAGAAAGCTGTCTTGTCTGAATGTCAAGTAGAATTATTTGATTTGTGGTTTCAGAAGAGAGAAACAAAGCTTTTAAAGATTTAGTTATTTATTTATTTTAAAGTCAGAGTTATAGAGATGGGGGAGAGAGTGAATAGGAGGGCGGAGGTTGAAGTAGCGGGAGGGAAAGAGAGCAAGAGCAAGAGCGAGAGCTAGAGAGAGAGAGAGAGAGAGAGAGAGAGATCGTTCTTCTACTAACTGGTTTCTTTACAAAAAGCTGTAATGGCTAGGGCTTAGCCAGAAAAGTCAGGAGCTTCATCCAAGTCTCCTATATGGGTGTCAGGACCCCAAGCACTGGGGACATCTTCTATTGCTTTTCCTGGCTTTACCTGCTCATCCACTATGCTGGGCCCTAAAAGAAACTATGCTAAGAACAATTCTAACGTGTAGGGAAAGTTGAGAGGATCAGCTTAAAGGAAGATGATCATTAGATTCCACAGTCCCATATTCCTTCTTGGGGCTAGTGTGATCATAGGATAAAAATTTTGAATTTTATATTACACACTGTTTTCAATTTAGAGGCAGGTATACATGCGCATTGTTCTATTTCTAATCTTATGTTCTCAGTGCCTTTTTCCGGAACATGATCAAAATCCATGGAAAGCCTATGTTATCATTTTTCTACATTCCATCATGTTCTTTCACACTTAACATAATTTTGAAAGTAATTTTGGGCTATGTCCTTGAATTAATCAGCCTCTTTTCCTCTCTAAACCAAAGGTAACTGAAAATCAGATACTCCTCATATTTTAACCATGTGTTTCCTTTCTTCTGTATCTGAAATTAAAAGTGACATCACTCGTGCCCCTTTCTGAGCTCATCTCCCAGAGGAAGACACATTGTCATGCATTTTTAAGGTAGTATTTACTTTTAAAAATTTATATTTATTTGAAATGTAGAATGACATATAGAGAGGGAGAGACAGAAATCTTCCATCCTCTGGTTCCCTTTACAAATGGCTGTAGCAGCTACGTCTAACACACGCTAAATCCAGGAGTCTTGAACTATATCCTGGTCACCCTTGTGGATTGCAGGGATCCATGTACCTGGTCCATCTTCTCCTGCCTTCCCAGTTGCATTAACAGGGAGATGGTTGGAGGAGGAGCAGTCAGCACTTGAACTGCCATTTCAATATGGCATGTTGGTGTTTAAACAGGGGCTGAACCTACTGTGCCCCAGTTAATAAACTATTATAAAGATTTACTTGTTTCTGTACACATATGATTGTGTAGTTATATATTTTCAGAGAATATACAGTACATATAATCACATACATATAGCATTAAATGTTTTTCTAACACCAGACTCTTACTACATGTACATTCTTAAGCTTTTTTTAAAGATTTATTTATTTATTTGAAAGTCAGATTTACACAGAGATAGGAGAGGCAGAGAGAAATAGAGAGGTCTTCCATCCACTGGTATACTTCCCCATTGGCTGCAACATCCATAGCTGTGCCCAACCAAAGCCAGGAGCCAGGAGCTTTTTCCGGATCTCCCACGCAGGTGCAGGGACTCAAGGATGTGGGCCATCTTCTACTTCTTTCCCAGGAAATAGCAGAGAGCTGGATCAGAAGCCAGATTCAAATCCTATTATTAGAATTAGGAAATATCGCATAGGCTGGAGGCTCTCCAAACCCCTCTAATGTCAGGTCCAGCTTCCCTATGGTGAGGCATCACACAGTCTTGCTCAGGTCAGATGGAGGCAAACCCCACAGGAAGACTCACATTCTTGGCACTCATGACCATCACATCCAGAAGGTGGCCCTTCCTCAGTTACAGTCAGCAACTTCTCATACCCACCATCAGATACAGTATTCCAGGGCTGGCAAAGTGGAAGAATGTCTTCATTATGAATGTGTCTTGTCTCCACCAATCTTCTTCCCAGAGTTGTACTCTTTAGGGTTTCTGCAGTCTTGAGGCTCTCGGTTCCTGGTTTAAAGAGAGCTGTCCAGAGGCCACAGCTCCCCCCTGGGAGGGTTCAGCTTCTGGAGTCAACTGTCCTGATATCTGGATCACTGTTGAGCCTCCAGGTCTGGCACTGACCCTGATCCCTAAAGGTGTTCAAGGGTGGAGGAAGGCAGAGGAATTTCCTACAGGCTTAGGTTTTTTAAAATTTTTTTAATCCTTCCTTCCTTCCTTCCTTCCTTCCTTCCTTCCTTCCTTCCTTCCTTCCAACCTTCCTTCCTTCCTTTCTTTCTTTCTTTCTTTTGTTCATTCGTTCATTCTTTTTGACAGCCAGAGTGGACAGTGAGAGACAGAAAGAAAGGTCTTCCTTTTTCTGTTGGTTCACCCCACAATGGCTGCTGCTGCCTGCGTGCTTTGATGGCACACCGCACTGATCCAAAGCCAGGAGCCAGGTGCTTCTCCTGGTCTCCAATGCGGGTGCAGGGCCCAAGCACTTGGGCCATCCTCCACTGTACTCCCAGGCAACAGCAGAGAGCTGGACTAGAAGTGGAGCAATCGGGACAGAATCCGGCGCCCCAACCGGGACTAGAACCCAGTGTGCTGGCGCCACAGGTGGATGATTCACCTATTGAGCCGTGGCACTGGCCCAGGCTTAGGTTTTGGGAATTATGGGTAGGAGGTCTCAGAGAGAAGTCTGTGATTCCAAGCAAGCTTAAAGAGACACTGTTGCCATTCAACAATTTGTTCTGTAAGGATGTGGTTCTCCTGATCTTGTGCAGACAAAACAGATGAATATGAATATGGATAATATGAGCAGTAGACATCATCTTTAACTTGACTTTTTGTTAATTTTATTAATCAGATCAGCCCACTTATCTTCCCACTAAACATATAGATTTTCTGTCAACCAGTAAATTTGAATTTAGATGGAATCCTTTAGAAATGATAGACCATTTTTCAGCACGAGAATTTCTTTAACTTCACTCTTACGGAATTGAGTCTCAGTCTGTTGAGACTGATGTAAAAAATGTCATAGACTTGGTGGCTTATACAGAACAGAAATTTACTTCTCATACATCTGGAAGCTGGGAAGTCTAAGATTAAGGCTCCAGCACATTTGTTATCTGGTGTGGATCTTCCTGGTGTGCAGATGGCATCTTCTAGCTGTGTCTCCATGTGTCAGATGGGATGAAGGGGTTCTCTGGGGTCTCTTATAGAAGGCAGAAATCTCAATTATGGGGGCACCAAGCTCATGACCTAAAATTTTATCAAATAATCCATCTTCTAATATCATCTCCTTGGAGGTTATGATTTTGTTTCTTTCTATTTATTTTTTATTTTAAAGTCAAATCTACAGAGAAGGAAAGATCCATCTTCCCATCAGCTGGTTCACTCCCTAGATGGCTGTGTTGGGCAGCTCTGGGCCAGGCAGAAGCCAGGAGCTAAGAGTGTCTTCCAGGTCTCTTATGTGGGTAGCATGGGCCTAGCACTTGGTCCATTTTGGGTGCTTTCCTCAGGCCATTAGCAGGCAGATGGACTGGAAGTAGAGCAGCCAGGCCTTGAACAGGCACCAGTATGGGAAGTCTGCATTGCAGGAGGCAGCTTTACCTGCTCTGCCACAAGGCTGGCTCCAAGAAGTCCTAACTGAGCAAGTTTTTCTCCATTTTTCATATCAATATCATTGAGTACAATGAACTCAGGATGAAAACTGACATTTCACTATAAACCTATATGCTCTTCTTTTATTAATGTGTGTTTGGACATGAAACACGGGCACCTTCTCCCTCCATTTTATTTAAACAGATGGTTCTTCAGGAATTTTTGGAGTGTGTAACCTTGGCTTTTCATTCTTAACAGTTTCTGTAGCTGACATTACTCTCTTTAAATCCACATTACCTCTGCTCCTCAAGAGATAGATAGAGGAAGAGAAAGTCTTAATCTAGAAAACAAATTCCTCATATTACATTTAGAAGGTAATGTTTATAAAGAAAAACACTTTTAATCCCCTAACCCTATCCTATTCATGGATAATCTGGTTTGATACAAGTCTATAAAAAATTTCTTTTTTCTCAAAAACATTTATGAAACTTTGTAAGAATAACCGTTTTAAACAATTGACAAAGAGAAACAATAGTACCAGCCATGTTACTGCTACAGACATAGGTGCTCAAGTGTCCAGAATCAAGGCTGTGGCCTCAGTGTCACCCTGCAGGGGGCCCACCAGCCAGCTCCCCAGGCACTGGCTTAATCTTTCATTTCTTCCTCTTATACTGTCCTTATTCTGGACTGAGCTCCCACATATTCTTGTGGATCTCTTTCACATTCTGAATACCAACTTCTCTCAAGGTTTCCTTCAGGTAGCCCACAGGCTGTTTTGTGATGTCCACCAGGTCCCTAAGGTTGGAATACTAGTACTTCTCAAAGGCTGAAAACAGCCTGGCTAAAACTTGCTGTTATCAGCTCGGGCTCGTTTTCCATCTTGTTTCTCCTTTCATAGTCAATGTTGTATTGATGACTAGCAACAGGTTTGTAATTGGTTGTTACAACTGTACCCAGTTGTTGGGATGGTCTTACTGCTTTGGGAGATTCTTCTGTTTGCCATCTCTTCAATCTCATGTAATTCTCACTGGCAGCATGTTGGCATTCAGCTCTTTATTCCAGCTCCTTCCTGAGACAGCCTCTCTAAGGAGCTCTCAGTAAATACCGTATACCATCCGGCAGTTTGCCAGACACACGGAAGATCTTGAGGAACACTGACTACAGCTGGTTTCGCATAAGAATCGTGAATATTTGAGAGATCTTCATCCAAAGAAAAGGACACCACAGTCCTTCCTTGATTCTTGACAATCCGCAGTTTCTCAACTTCACCTCTTCCAGGAGTTTAGCTCATTGCTGTGGCAAATATTTAGAAACTTTGACCAGACACACTCCAGTGTACTGTTTGTACCAGTCACATGGAGTTCCCCGTACTTGGCCATGAGTCTGTTGGGGGTGGAAGTGAGTGAACTGGAGCAGCGGCCTCAGGACCTTGGGTACTGTGGAGCAATTATCCTGAGCAAAAGGCTAGCTGCAGTGGAAAGTGGACTGCAAGCAGGTGGTGCTGATCACCTGCCAAGATAATAGGAAACCTGGAACTGAGGAACACTGGAAGTGTCCATATTAAAATATGAATTGTGGGGGTGGGGGGGAGGACCGTAGTGTAGAAGAACCACTAGTTCTTAAAATCTGTGTGTATGAAATGCATGAAGTTTTTATTCCTTATATTAAAGTATATTGGTAAAAATAGACAAATAAATTCTGGAACATAATAGACAGAAATAAATCCAGACGAATATATTCAATAATTTTTGAAAAAGAGCAAAGGCAGCTCTAAGTAGAAAGTATAGCCATTTCAAAAGTGCTCCAGAAAAATCGAACACTCATAGGCCAAAAAAAATATATAAATAAAGAAAAGAAAAAAAATATGGATATTTTCCTTTTGTCCTTTCCCCCTTGCAAAGGTGATTTGTGGGCAGAGGCCTCAGAGCAGTGGGTGGGGTGGGGGTAGTTGTGAGAGATGAATAAACAGAGAACGGAGGGTTTTCGGGTAGTGAATTTATTCTGTACGATACCACAATTGTGCACATATCTCAATAACATTGGTCAAATTGATAGAATTAACAAGGCAGGAGTGAATGGTATGTAAAATATGAACTCCTGGTGATGTTGGTTCAATGTATGTAAGAAAGCTTACAAATGAGAGTTTTTAATTGTAGGAAAGTCTGAGTGTGCGTGTGGAGTGGACATACGTGGCCATTGTCAAATTTACTCTTTAGTTTTTCTGTGAAACTTAAGCTGTATTGCGGAAACAAATTCTAGAAATGGACAACAAAATTCTTATTCTAACTGACAGTTCTAGGGAAGCTGAGTTTATATTATTCTACTATTGTTGTGGTTTAACAGTGTTCATCTCCTGAATATTTGAACTGAGATCAGAATTCCGTACGATGGGATGTGAGAATTCACTGAACTGAAGGATGGAAAACTTGGATTCTAAGACAAGTTATTTATTCATTTATATATTTATTTATTTATTCATTCATTTTTTATTTGACAGGTAGAGTTATACACAGTGAGAGAGAGAGACAGAGAGAAAGGTCTTCCTTCCGTTGGTTCACTCGCCAAATGTCCACTACAGCCGTAGCTGTGCTGATCTGAAGCCAGGAGCCAGGTACTTCGTCCTGGTCTCCCATGCATGTGCAGGGCCCAAGCACTTGGACCATCCTCCACTGCACTCCCGGGCCACAGCAGAGAGCTGGACTGGAAGAGGAGCAACTGGGGTTAGAACCCGGTGCCCACTGGGGTGCCGGTGCCGCAGGTGGAGGATTAAACAAGTGAGCCATGGCGCCGGCCCCAACAAGTTCTTTTATTGCTGTATTGGTGACACTATATTTCACTGAGGTACCAATTGCTCATCGTTAAACATCAAAACAAATTTGGACTAGCTGATCTCAGAGATCCCTTTTATCTTAGGATTATATGACCGTGGGGCTAGTGTTTGGTGGAATACTTAATATGCCATTTGGGATTCCTGCATTTTCTAACAGGACCTGAGTTTGAGTCTCAGTGATGCTCTCCATTCCATGTTCCTGATAACGCACACCCTGACAGGCAGCAGGCAATGACTCATGTTCTTGGGGCCATGCTACATATGTGCTTGGCTTGCATTGAGTTTCTGGCACTCAGTTCTAGTCTGACCAAGCACCAGTCATTGTGGGGCTTAGAGGAGTGAAACTGCACATGGGAGGTCACTCTGTCTCATCTTTCTATCCCTGTCCATCTCTCTACTTTGCTTTCCTTAGTTTTTTTTTTTCCAATTAATTTATTTATTTGAAAGTAAGAGTTAACACTGAGAGAGAAAGAGAGGCAGAGAGAGAGAGGTCTTCCGTTTTCTGTTTTCCCTCCTCAGATGGCCGCAATGGCCAGAGATTTGTGATCCAAAGGCAGGAGCCATGAGCTTCTTCTGGGTCTCCCACACAGGTGCAGGAATACAAAGACTTGGACCATCTTCCACCACTTTCCCAGGCCATCACTGAGAGCAGGATTGGAACTGGAGCATATGGGACTCAAACCTGTTGCCTACATGGGTTGCTGGTACTGTAGGCATTGATTTACCCACTATGCCACAGTATAGGCCTCCCATCTCTCTACTTTTTGAGGAAGATTATCCAGGATTTTTATAAACACTATGTGTATATGAAAAGTTCAGGCAGGACGTCAGCTCATGTGAAAGGAGGAGATACAGAGCAGGGTCATTTATCTTCAAAGAGTAATGTGATTGCTGTAAAGAGAGTGACAGAGCTCATTGAACCCAAAACAAATTGGTGTGGTTCTGTTAAGAGTTTAGAACTATGTGAATTAGGCAGAAGATTTCTTCTCTTTGCCCTGGATGTAGCATTCACCAAGAAGTGGAATTGTTCATGTTCTGACCTTTTTTGGCCCTGATTTTAATCAATTGTTGTGGTAATCATTAAATAAATCATGTTTGTTTTTCAAGTGACTGATTAGAGTGAGTCACGCAACAGAGAATCACAGCACACTCTGAAAATGTTCCTGAACCCAAGTGAAAGGAAAGTCTTGCTTGAGGTAGAGAGCAAGACATGGGACACATGGGGTCAGTTCAGAAGCCTAACATCAGCAGTTTGTGTATCTTTGGCCTTGGAACTGAGTCCCCAAGGCCAAGTTTCCTCATCCCTCAAATTGAATGATTTTACCTTAGGCAAAGGGAACAGAATCCAAAGAATGTGTAGGGTGTGAACCTCTCTGTTAATTATCAGAATCTCTTGCAGGCACTGCGGCTCAACAGTCTAATCCTCCACCTAGTGGCGCTGGCACACCGGGTTCTAGTCCTGGTCGGGGTGCCAGATTCTGTCCTGGTTACCCCTCTTCCAGGCCAGCTCTCTGCTATGGCCCAGGAGTGCAGTGGAGGATGGCCCAAGTGCTTGGGCCCTGCACCCCATGGGAGACCAGGAGAAGCACCTGGCTCCTGCCTTCGGATCAGCGTGGTATGCCGGCTACGGCGGCCATTGGAGAGTGAACCAACGGCAAAAATAGGAAGACCTTTCTCTCTCTCTCTCTCTCTCTCTCTCTCACTGTTCACTCTGTATGTCAAAAAACAAAATTATCAGAATCTCTTTATTCTTGACCAATAAAACACTTTCTAAGTTGGTCTTGACAAGACTTAACTTTTAAAATACAGTTTAGAGTGCTTGCTTCCACAGCACATATACTAAAATTGTAATGATACAGAGAAGATTAGCATGGCCTCTGTGCAAGGATGACACGCAATTTCGTGAACTGTTCCATATTTTTTTCTGGAATCAACCCATATGCCCCTCAACAGTAGACTGGATAAAGAAATTATGGGACATGTGCTCTACAGAATACTATACAGCAGTAAAAAAAAAATGAAATCCAGTCATTTGCAACAAAATGGAGGAATCTGGAAAACATCATGCTGAATGAATTAAGCAAGTCCCAAAGGACAAATATCATATGTTCTCCCTGATCGGTGACAGCTAACCGAGCACCAAAAAGGAAACCTGCTGAAGTAAAATGGACACTAAGAGAAAGAGTGACTTGATAAGCCCTTGTCCTGACTGTTGATGTACAATTTAATACTTTATCCCTTTTAGTTTTTTTTTTGTTCTACTTAATACTATTGGTTGAACTCTGTAATTAACACACAATTATTCTTAGGTGTTTAAATTTAACTGAAAACAGTTTTTCATTTCAAAAGTTAATTTTTCATTGCTATGCTATAGAAAAAAAGTTGAATTCTTCATATTAAACTTGCACCCTGAAACATACTAGAATTATTAAATAGATTTGGGAGTTTTTTGTTATTTGCTTTTTTAACTTTGATTTTCTTGCTTTTAGCTTTTCTTTTTTAAATCTTTGAAATTTTCTACATAGTCAATCATATGGTGTGCAAACAAGGACAATTTTATTTATTACTTCCAAGTTGGTATATTTAATCTACTTTTCTTGTTGTTACATTAGATGGAATGTTTAGTAGGATGCCAAATAGGAGTGGTAAGAGGAGACATCCTGCCTTATTCATGACCTTAACCAGGAAGTTTCAAGTTTCTCACCATAAGTGATCACATTAGCTGTGTTAGTGTGTACTCTGTTAGCTACCACAGATCAGAAAGCAAATATAGTATTTATCTTTTTTGGACTGCTTTATTTCACTAAGTTTAATAATTTAGAGTTACATCCATTTTTGTTGACCACTGTGCAGTATTTCATAATTTGTGTGTGTGTGTGTGTGTATGATAATTTCTTTATACAGTCATCAGTTGATTGACTTCTGGGTTGATTCCATTTCTTAGATATTATGAATTGAGCTACAGTAAACTTGGGAGTACGGATGTCTCTTTCATATGTTGATTTCTTTTCATTTAGATAAATTCATTTTGACATAGCTTCAAGTCACACTCACGTATACATTTTCTATAAATAAAATACATATATATTTTATATTTATAATGCATTAATATATGTCATAGCATATTGTCATTTCTTTCAGTCATAAATTCTCAAGTGAACATTATTTATAGACACAGAATTTAGCATAATTTTCTTGTGTCATAATTAACTTTCATTCATGGATGAATATTGAAACCACCTGTTTTTCTTTTCTTTTTTTTCAATAACCAATACATGAGCACACCCTCCCAGTACAATGAAATTGCAATTTCCCGAGTGGGCACAGGAAACAAAGTGATACAACTTATGAGTGTCTTATTTTCATCTCTGTCATGGAGGCAAAGTTCACTCAGGAGAGAGGATTAAGTGCATCAATGCTTGACCCATCAGAGAAGCATATTAGCAAGAGTGGTATAAAGCCTGTGCTTCCCAGCTCACAGGATCCCAGGAAGAAGAGAATGGATCCAGTTGTGGCCCTGGTGTTGGGGCTCTGCTGTTTGCTTCTCCCTTCACTCTGGAAGCAGAATTCTGGGAGAGGGAAGCTCCCTCCTGGCCCCACTCCTTTCCCCATCATTGGAAATATTCTCCAGATAGATGTTAAGGACATCAGCAAATCCCCAACTAAGGCAAGTATTCATTATGCTCCTCCTGTGGCATGCAAAGGGTAAATAGATTGACTCTTTTGAAAATAAAATCTATTCCCAGATGCAGACTCTTATAACAAATGTTTATAAATCAAAATGCTCTCTGTAAGCTTTGATGCTTCTTCTAGCAATTTCAGGAGATGAGTGGAGAAATATAGGTCCCCGTAGATAGAATCAAAATAATTAAGTGACAAAAGTCGGGAGTACTGAGGATCTTCTTTGATTTTCAGCTTTTGCCCGCAGGTCACTGACAAGTGAAGAGCTTCTGATAGAAATTTCATTCAAGAAATCATCTATTGTATTATACACATGGTTTCTTTTTTCAGAATATCCATGGAAATTGAACATCTCTGCAGAATCAGTAAAAACTTGTATCAAGCTATGGGTTCTGGAGTAGTCTAGGTGAAAGAAAGAGAGAAGTAAACATTCAGTGGCCACCTGGTGGCATCAGAATTCTTTTAGATTCTGTGAAACCCTGCTGTGTGGCCCAGAATGATACAGGATGAAAGAAGCTGCTCCTCCCTGAGATGCTGCTTGAGATGTCTTGGCCCTGCCTCTGCTGATTCTCCTTCTCCTCTCCTTCTGATTCTCCTCCTCCTCCTCCTCTTCCTCCTCCTGCTTCTCCTTCTGCTACTGCTTCTGTGTCTGCTTCTCATTCTCCTTCTTGCTCTTCCTCTTCCTTCTCCTCCTCTTCTCCTCCTTTTTCTTCTTCTTCTAGCTTTATTTTATTTAATCAAAAGCAGAGTGATACAGAGGGACAGACAGAATAAATAAGAGATCTCCTGGCCAGTCTTGTAGAATAACATTAAAGCCAGGAAATCTGACATGAGCATCCCATATGGAGCCAGTTCAATACCAGGTTGCTCTACTTTTCATCCAGCTTCCTGCTATGTACCTGGGAAAGCAGCAGAGGATGAGGCAATTCCTTGGGCCCCTGCACCCTTGAAGGCGATACACTTGAAGCTCCTGGTTCTGGCATCAGCCTGGCCCAGCCCTGGTCATTGTTCTCATTTGGGGAGTGAACCAGTAGATGGAGGATCTGTCCCTCTCGGTCTCTCCCCCTCTCTCTGTAACTCTGCCTTTTAATTAAACAAACATAAAAGAGATCCCATCTGCTGTTTGACTGCACAAAGGACTCCAATGATCAGCGCTGAGCTGGGCCAGTCAGGAGCCAGAAACTCTTCCTTGGTCTCCCATGAGGGTGACAGATTATTTTTTTCAAGACTATTTTATATATTTGAAAGGCAAAATAACAGAAATAGAGACACAGAGAGAAAGACAGCTTGCTCATTTCCTGTCTTATTAATACCAGAAGATTTCATACTGGGCTGAACATTAGATTCACTTGGGTTGGCTTTTAAAAATATATATCACTAGTGTCATCATGGGCCTACTGAGTCAGGATCCTTATGAAAAGAGCTTGCCATGTGATCCTGAAGTCAGCTAGGTATTGATTTCAAGCCACAGAGGTTGAATAAGCAGCAAATAGCTTCTAATTTTTGGTGAAAGGAAACTGGAAATAAATTTGGAATGCTAGACCCCAGTTACTTTTTCTATGAAACACTGCAAACTTGTTGAGTGTGTTGTTTGAGAATGAACTGGCAATTGCATACCAACTACCTGAGCTATTGTATGGAACATCATAGGTCATTCATGAGTGGCAGCCATAATAATCACTATTTAATATAAACAGAAATATTTGAATCCATGGCAGAATAAAGAGATAACATAGACAATGCTAATTTCTGTCTGAATCAGACACACTCTGTGGCTGATATGTGGTTTCTTTGGTGGTATTGGTTTCTCTTCCCAGGTCTCAGAACGCTATGGCCCCGTGTTCACTGTGTATCTGGGCATGAAGCCCACTGTGGTGCTGCATGGATACAAGGCAGTGAAGGAGGCCCTGGTTGATCTTGGAGAGGAGTTTGCTGGAAGAGGCAGTTTTCTTATAGGTGAAAAAGTTAATAAAGGACTAGGTAAGTGTGTGTGTGCATGTGTGTTAAATAGTGGTAATGAGATAGAGAGGTTAGAAAACAGAACTTGACAAGCAACTCAGACAGAACTTGGCCATCTGTGTGGCTGCCTCATGTCAGCTTCTTCCTACTTGCTGGGATCTCCCTCCCTCCAAGTTTCTGTTTCTCATTCTGGCAAGAAATGTTTTAAGCAATGCAAAGACATGGAAGGAGATGTGGCGCTTCTCACTCATGATCCTGCAGAATTTCGGGATGGGGAAGAGGAGCATTGAGGACCAAGTACAAGAGGAGGCCCGCTGCCTGGTGGAGGAGCTGAGAAAAACCAGCGGTGGGTGACCCTTACCCCACATCGCTGACCTCACACTGTTCCCCCAAATATGCTGGCCTGGGAAACCTTGCAGGGTGCGCAGAGCCTTTATCCTGAGGCCTGGTTGCTGCTCCCATGGTGGGAGGGGAGGTTTGAAACAGAGAAGTGGGGAGTTTGTGCGGATCTGTGCTGTGTTTCCAGCATGGTTCTGTGTCTTGTGCGGTGTAAAAGTTCATTTAATACTCTTCTGTCCCAAGTCAGTTTCTGTAATTTCCTATCAGAAATCATGAATATAAGTTTTGAGTGTATTTTCTGAAAGAACTGAAGAGCAATATTTTCCCCATAGCCTGAATGCTGTTATCTATTGTAGAACATTCCATGGTGGAGACTTGGCAAATGCATAGGTGGCAATGACCCATCAGCCTCTTATGGGGCAAGAAATGACCCTCGCTGGCGTTCACATCTGCATGCTCAGCTTCACTGACCTGTCTGAGGTTTACCCAGGCCCAGGCCTAGTGCTGGACACCAGTGGTGCTACGTGCAGTTTTGTCTCCCTAGGCAATTCCTAACAAGGTTTCTGTCACTTGCTATTCTCTGTCATCACCCTTTTTATAAAAATTGCTGTCCATTGTTGAGTCTATTTCCTCTATTGATTTATCTCTCTTAAGTAAATATACCCTGTATTACGTATATGCCTAGTTATGCAAAATAAACATTATTCCATAAGATGATTTTTAACAATATTTCAACTGTTAGAAATAGTAGTTTGATTGTGGCATTTCCACTGTACCATCTAAAATGAAAACCTTTCTTGTATTTTCATTTGTTTATCTGTAAAATGAGAGACTGGCTTAACTTACAGGTAACTTTTAAATTTTATATAACATCTTTCATAGTTTGGTATAGTTGTACAGAACAATATATTAGAATCCACCAAAGGACAGCTTTGCTTCAGTATGTTAAATGCGGAAAGCGGCCGGCACCGCTGCTCACTAGGCTAATCCTCCGCCTAGCGGCGCCGGCACACCGGGTTCTAGTCCCGGTCGGGGCGCCGGATTCTGTCCCAGTTGCCCCTCTTCCAGGCCAGCCCTCTGCTGTGGCCAGGGAGTGCAGTGGAGGATGGCCCAGGTGCTTGGGCCCTGCACCCCATGGGAGACCAGGAAAAGCACCTGGCTCCTGGCTCCTGCCATCGGATCAGCGCCATGCGCCGGCCTCAGCGCGCCAGCCGCGGTGGCCATTGGAGGGTGAACCAATGGCAAAAGGAAGACCTTTCTCTCTGTCTCTCTCTCTCACTGTCCACTCTGCCTGTCAAAAATTAAAAAAAAAATACGGAAAGCAATTAGAGATATTGGCTGTTCACTTCTCAAGAAAGGAAATTCATTGTTTTCTTTTAACATTGATGCTCATGATAAAGAAGATTCCAAATATTTATTAGCTTCTTCAATCTGGGATGTATGTTTGAATTTAAAAAATGAAAAATTCTCACTTTACTCCTTCAGGCAGGCAAATGCATCCTAAACTTATTGTTTCTTACTTATTTTTCAAAGTTTTCTTTAAAGTGAAAGTCAAAGATTGAGATACACACACACACACACACACACACACGAACACACTGAGAGAGAGAGAGGGAGAGAGATCTCATCTACTAGTTCACTTCCCAGAATGCCACATGCCAGGCCTGTAATAGAGCCAGAAGTGCATACTCGACTAGGTCTCCCACTTGAGTGGCATGAACTCAGCTACTTGAGCCATCACCTGCTGCCTCCAGGAGTCTGAATTGTCAGGAAGTGGAGTTAGGAGTGGGGCCTGGTGTTGAACCCGGCACCCTATCTAGAATGCAGTTCATCTTAGATGGTATCATAAGCACTAGGCCAATGACTTGCTTCATTTTTTGTAATGAATTATTTTATTTATTTGAAAGACAGAGTTACACAGAGAGGTAGAGACACAGAGAGAGGTCTTCCATCTGCTGGTTCACTCTCCAGATGGCCAGGAGCCAGGAGCTTCTTCTGGGTCTCCCACGTGGATACAGGGGCACAGGACTTGGGCCATCTTCTACTGCTTTCCCAGGCCATAGCAGAGAGCTGAATAGGAAGTGGAGCAGATGGGACAAGAACAGATGAACATATGGGATGCTGGTGCTTCGGGCCAGGGTTTTAACCTGCTGCGCCACAATGCCGGCTCCAACTTGCTTCATTTTTTTCATTTTTGTCTTTTCTCATATTGCATGGATGCCTCCAGCTTTTAAAATGTTTTTTTTTTTTTAATTTGTGAATTTACCCACAATTTGTCTCTATAGTTCTTCAATACTGGTTCAGCACAGCATTTTCATTATTTGTGACTGTTATTTTATCTATTATAAGTTTTCTGGCCCACACTATTTTCTGCTCACTATTTCAGTGCTTTGTTGTCTACAGACATTGCACATATAAGTGATCTAGTCTGAAAATTTGAATTATTAAGTTTAATATGGTTTGAATTTTCCTTCCCAAATAGCAGATCTCTTGTTATAAAAATGTACACATAAAAACAGTGAATGTGAACTGAGTATTGGAAATAGCATTTTTTAGCGAGCTAGGTTGTAACGGTCAACTCAGGATTATAGTAAAGTGATATTTGATTTTATGTGTGCCATTTACTTACTGTCCCCGGAATTTGTAGACAAGATATTGCTTAAAATTTCTAACTTACCATAGACAAAAATAAAGTGCTTTATTTGTATATTTTAATGGTGTTTTAAAATTGTTTTCAATTCTTCAGCCTCATCTTTATCCTGGGCTGTGCTCCCTCAATTTGATCTGCTCTGTTATTTTCCATAATCGTTTTGATTATAAAGATGAGGATTTTCTTAAACTGATGGAAAGATTAAATGAAAATATTAGGATTCTGAGCTCTCCATGGTTGCAGGTGAGAGTGAGATCTTTTGTTCCTGAGAAACCATTTAAGTGCCTTTATCTGACAAGTGCAAAGGTCCACATGGACCAAGCTGTGAAGAGATTGTTCAGACAGCACAGGCCCCACAGAGCTGATGTCACTAAACACTGTGAAAGATGATAGAAACTTTTATTCACACACAGGAAACGAGTGTCCAAATACTGGATTGCTGTTTGTGCTCATTACCTTCTTGTCCTGTGATTTTTCCACTGAACACCAAGCCTTGGTTTTATAAAGCCCACTTTGATGACTAGACAAAGAAAGTCTTTGTCAATCACTGGACATCCAGGCTGTTTTATTCTTAAAATATTCATTTATTAGAAAGGCAGGAACACAGAGACAGGGAGAAATGAAACAGAGATCTTCCATCTGCTGGTTCACTTTCTGAATGTCCCTAACAACCTGGGCTAGGCCAGGCAGCTGCCAGGAGCTGGACCTAAATACTTGATCTAAGTACTTGAGCCATCACAGACCCAGTAGCAGGAAGTAGCATAGATGGGACTTGAGGGAGCACACAATATACAACGCTGTCATTCCAGCTTTACCTGCTGGACGACAATACTCTGATTGCCTTTTATATTTCAAGTTTATAACAATGATTTATGCAAAAAATAAGATTCATACATATTTTTATATGTAAAAAATAAGAATCATTTTTTAAAATTTTTACTTAGTAAATATAATTTCCAAAGTACAGTTTATGGATTACAATGGCATTTCCCCCTCACAACCTCCCCCCGTCCTGCACCCCTCCCATCTCCCGCTCCCTCTCCCATTCCATTCACATCAAGATTCATTTTCTATTATCTTTATATACAGAAGATTGATTTAGTATGTATTAAGTAAAGATTTCATTAGTTTGCACCCACACAGAACATAAAGTGTAAAATACTGTTTGAGTACTAGTTATAGCATTAATTCACATTGGACAACACATTAAGGACAGAGATCCCACATGAGGAGTAAGTACACAGTGACTCCTGTTGTTGACTTAACATTTTTACATTCTTGTTTATGGCGTCAGAAAACTCCCTAGGCTCTAGTCATGAGCTGCCAAGGCTATGGAAGCCTCTTGAGTTCTCTGACTTTGGTCTTATTTAGACAAGGTCATAGTCAAAGTGGAAGTTCTCTCCTCCCTTCAGAGAAGGCTATGTCCTTCTTTGATGGCCCATTCTTTCTACTGGGATCTCACTCACAGAGATCTTTCATTTAGGTCCTCTTCTCTCTTTTTTTTTTTTTTTTTTTCTTTTGCCAGAGTGTCTTGGCTTTCCATGCCTAAAATACTCTCATGGGCTCTTCAGCCAGATCTGAATGCCTTAAGGGCTGATTCTGAGGCTAGAGTGCTGTTTAGGACATCTGCCATTTTATGAGTCTGCTGTGTATCCTGCTTCCCATGTTGGATCATTCTCTCCATTTTTGATTCTATCAGTTAGTATTAGCAGACACTAGTCTTGTTTGTGTGATCCTTTTGACTCTTAGACGTATCAGTGTGATCAATTGTGAACTGAGATTGATCACTTGGAATAGTGAGATAGCATTGGTATATGCCGCCTTGATGGGATTGTATTGGAATCCCCTGGCACATTTCTAACTCCACCACTTGGGGCAAGTCAGCTTGAGCATATCCCAAATTGTATATCTCCTCCCTCTCTTATTCCCACTCTTATATTTAACAGGGATCACTTTTCAGTTAAACTTAAACACCTAAGAATAATTGTGTGTTAATTCCAGAGTTCAACTAATAGTATTAATTAGAACAAAAAAAAAAAAACACTAAAAGGGATAAAGTGTTAAATTGTACATCAACAGGACAAGGGCTGATCAAGCCACTGTTTCTCATAGTGTCCCTTTCACTTCAACAGGTCTCCTTTTTTGTGGTTGGTTAGTTGTCATTACCTTTATAAAAATTATGTGTGAGTCTAGCAAATGACTTTAATATTTGATATTCTGGACAGATTTCTCTGCCTCAAAAATTTCTATAAGCATATAGAACTACCACATATTTAAATAAAATTTTTCCCTGAGATGGGCACAAAATTTTATTCATAATTACAACCGAATTCCCAACAGGGCTTTGTGTGTGTGTGTGTATATA